TAATTACATATGCTAGAAACCAGGTTTCAATACCTGTGGTAAGAAGAGCACAGATAACCCATTGTGTTGCTTTGTGCTTAATTACATATGCTAGAAACCAGGTTTCAATACCTGTGGTAAGAAGAGCACAGATAACCCATTGTGTTGCTTTGTGCTTAATTACATATGCTAGAAACCAGGTTTCGATACCTGTGGTCAGAAGAGCACAGACGACCCATTGTGTTTAACTTCAAAAACAAACAATTTCCTTCACTTAATTCTTGTGTTATAGAATTACGTGCGAAGTGATAGTGTATGAAAGATGGAACATTTTACATACTTAAGTAGTCTACAGGAATGGAACTTTGAATCAAATCACAAATTTTAAGATCTACGTTTCTGAATGTTTCATGTGATTTGTAAAACAATGCATGTTTATAAACCAGCATACTAGTGTATAGTTATACTACCTCTAGTGACGTTGTTGTCGTAATATGGAGGTTTTACTGCATTTAGCTAGCAAAATACAGAGGTGGTTTGGTTGTTGATGTTAATTTCTAAAAGTAGTTCAGTGCATTATTTTCACTGTCATTTCTATACTATCTTAGTCTAATTATCAGCTCTAATTATTTTAAATACCAGTTATAAATAAATAGCAAATATTTAATACAACAAAAGTAATAAGTTCTTTAAGGTTAGAGTTCAGGATGTAGCATGTTCTTGTAACAGCAATTGAATTAGATAAAAAGTTCAAGTTAGCATGAGATTTAGAATGAATTAATAAAAGAAACAAGTGAGTTTCAACTTTTTCTGTGATTTTTAATGATGTTTAGTACTGTATTTGTAACTCTAACATTGAAATTTAAAAAACAAAAGTGCAGAAATAGTTAAAATAATTTTTCACCCATACTCGATAAAATTTTATTCATTATCATACTGATTATGTTTTGTTTTTGTTTATTGCAGCAAGACTGTCCAAATGGAAAACTGACCAAAGACAAATTTGTAGATCTATATAAAATGTTCTTTGCATGGGGCCAACCTGAAAAATTTTGTGAACATGTTTTTCGAACTTTTGACATGGATGGGAATGGGTACATAGATTTTAAAGAATTTCTTCTAGCTTTAGCAATTACATCAGAAGGCTCAATGCAAGAGCGTTTAAAGTGGGCATTCAGAATGTATGATATTAATGGTGATGGGCACATAGAAAAGCCTGAAATGACACTTATTGTCCAGGTAAAGTGTTTTTTAATTTTCTGTTTCTAAAATTTTTTCCTCTAATATCAATGCTCAGAATTGTAATATAGTTAAGAGAGGAAGATAGATAGATTTTTATAATGTTTAATGTATATTTTATACTCAAATGTTTTGGACTTAATTGATTCAGCTAGTATGCACTGAATTCGTGCTATAATAGTCTTTAATTACCATGTTTTAAAATAAGAACACTCCTGCAAACAAGTGTTTATTGTTAATACAGCAGAAAAGCAATACTGCTAATGCTGGTGATAATGTATAACTTCTGACTTGGTTTATTAAATATCAATAAAACATTTTGACATTCATGCACATGCACTGTAAAGACATTCTGATACCATCTTCAGATCAGTCTGAAAAGGTGCCCATAGACAACATTCTTTTGATAAACATGGTTCGTAGGAGGCACATAACTTCTTTATATGAAGACTGAGTATGTTGTATTAAACAAATTTTGGAATCTCACCATGTCCAGTCATACTCTGACTATTTTCACAGTAGCCCTGAAGCTTAGTTTCCATAACAGAATCCTTTGTCATGAGGTTTTCAAGTCCGGAGCATATCATTCTTCCCTTCATTTTTTATGTAATTTATAGTCCCCTGGTGGGACAGTTGTAAGTCTTCTGTTTTACAATGCTAAAATCAGGGGTTTGATTCCCCTTGGTGGATACAGCAGATAGCCCGAAGTGGCTTTGCTATAAGAAAACACACACACACATACACATAATTTATATAACTGTTTTACAACGCTAAAATCAGGGGTTCAATTCCCCTTGGTGGATACAGCAGATAGCCCGATGTGGCTTTGCTATAAGAAAACACACACACACACATAATTTATATAATGTATGATAAAGTCCGTTTCCCAGTTCAAATTTCAATAATTTGATCACACTGGAATTAGTAATAAGTTTTCATATGGAATAGCTTGAATACCCATTTCATTCACCAGCTTCTTGGGGTATGCATCAGTTGAATGGCTATGTTGTGAAAGCAATTTGTGTCACTTTTCAAAGCAGATATCCTTCTTGATTATGTTGCATACTGTTCTTGGATATGTTAATGGTTTTTGCCACTGATCTTTATGTTTCTGGATTCTCACCTGTTTCAAAATGCCACACTTTGCTTCCCATGGCTGGGGTACAACTTGTTGTAAGTCTTTCTGGTCCTCATATTGATCCATATTCCTTTGTTTTCCAATGCTATTGAATTCAAGGGATACATCACCATTTTGGAAATTCTAAAATCTTGATATCATCACACTGCCTATGAAATGCTAGGCAATGTCAAAATGTAGTTTTCATACATGCCATTCCACCACAACTTTATATCATCTGTGATTGTCACATGACTTGCTGATTTGCATATTCAATCATTTTAATATAATGTACTCAACTCTGTATACTTTATATACTTTACAAAACAAAGAGCTTCCTTTCAGAAAATAAGTAAGAACATTCAATGTTTAAATGTGCACAATAATTTATTGTATAAGTTAAAAGTAAAATATACAATTAAAAACTCTATACAGTTAACAACTCTATATGTTTTGGTGGGAAAAGTTCCACTACCTTCAGCAGACCAAAAGAAACACTGGAAATATTTTTTATATTTATTCCAGCATGTGCACATGTATAATTTACATATTATATAGCGCCATCTACAGAATGAATTTCCAAAAATTCACTTCTGTGGCACAAGGGCCTAGATCTCTATTCGAAATCATTTTATGTTTAATAATTTCAAGAGATTCTTGATTTCGAATAAAGATCTAAGCCCTGGTGCCACAGAAGTGAATTATACATGTGCACTTGCTGGTATAAAAATATGAAAATGAATTTCCTTTGTTTCTTCTGGTCTTCTGAAGATGGTGGAGCTTTTTCCACCAAAACATGTAGAGTTTTTCACTTTTAACTTATACAATAAATTATTGTTCATTTTTAAACATAAAGAAGATTTGCTCATTTTTCCATTCCACCACACAATTAATAAAGCCAAATCAACCCAAATATTCTGTATTTATTATTTATGTGATTTGCATTGGTAATGTTTTAAAACTTTTGTTTATTGCTATTAAGTCTGAATTAAACTTATATGCCTATTATATTTTAATACTAGCAAAAGTACCTGGCTTTGCTCAGGTTATTATGTTGATAGTGTGTGCATTCTGAACAAATTTTAGCATATAAGTATAACCTATATACTTTCGTTGCTAAGCAACAAGACATAAAAGCCATTGTTGGAATGCACTGGTGACAAAATGCACTGGCTTTTCTATATATTAGAAGTTCTTATATATGGAACCACTTCTTTTCGCTTGCTTGCCTCTATTAAAAAGATGCGTGCAAGCACTCACATGGATAAGTAATAATACCCAGGTGCTCACTCTCAGAGTCCACTTAGTATGTGTGCAAAATTTCAGGTTTGTATGTTCTTTTCTCTTGGAGCTATGGCAACCACACACAGATTAACAGACACACCCTTTTACTATTATAGAACACTTTCATAGCTGACTAACATCATTAATTTGGGGCTTTAGTCATTTAATTAACAAAGTTTTTTGATACATAGATTGCCTTTGTTGTTACTTCTTGCAATAATCTTGAAGTGAGTATTCCTTCCTTCTCTGTTGCAACTACTCATGATATGCTCTTTCTTAACTCGATTTGTTGTCACTGAGTAGGTTTGAATGTTCTCACACTCTAGTTTATTACCATATACCTAACATAACAATTGGGACAAGTAAATTCATAAACAATGTTAGATGTGTTTGTGGATATCTTGTCTCTAAATTAAAATAAAAAATTCAATATACTTTCAGGTTCGTAAATAACTCTTAGGTCTATTTGAAAGTAGATTACTAAAAGAACCATGTTTTCCAGTGAAAGGCAGTACCATTGAAATCAATCATTTTGGCACATTTATGATCTGTTGTTTCGATATCTGAACTTCTAAATATATTTTCATGATCTTGTCTATTCTATAAATAGTAAAATCATTCTTTGTCAATAAGCATCTTATATTTTTCACTTCTTTATTGAAATATTCATAAGTACTTGTAGTTTTATAAACATTGATTTCATCAGAAAATTATTCTTTTTTTGATGTACCTATGCTTTGTCAATGAAAAGACAGCATCCATATTCTGACATTCCTCTGGCCCTTTCTCAGTCCAATATATAATGAGATCTTGCCTGGATCATTGGAGAAAGATACTGTACTGGTATCACTATTATTGGGAATGTCTTCAGAGGAGTGGGGTGAAACAACTGCAGTTAAAAAAGTCACAGGAGGCTGGTTCTTTTCATCAGGTGCAGCAGGTTCACTTATATTGGTTGTTGCCTTAACTTCATCACCAGACTTAGTAAGACTTAGGAGAGAGGGAGCTCTTTTCAGTGCTGCACCTGGTCTTTGTTCTGCCTCCTTCAGTTTTTGCCACCCTCGTTTCTTCAACATGCTGATTGATGAATACACTGTGCAGAAATCTGAAAACAATTTTGAAAAATGACTAATGCTTTGAAGCTGAGACTGTGATGAAATGCAAACATTATAAAATCATACTTTTATATTTTTTACAGTGATCATAAACAGACATATAGAGGCACAGAGACATCATTTCACAATATAAGCAGCTCAAATGGATTAATGAAAACAAAAGGCAAAGATCAAGTATTTCATAAGTACCATTAACTGTACAGAAGGGGTAAAGTTATTGCAACATACCTAACATTAACTCTAAAAGCACAACAAGTCTAGAGATGTGTCATTACTTGCTAACAAAGGTTTACATTTAATAATAAGAAAATGATGGCTTAAAAAATATGATTGTCTAAGCCTGTGGGTTAATCCAGCCCAGGTACAAAGTGATCATTTGTACGACACTTCATACTGTTTTGATTATTATCTGCTTTAAAGTTGAAGTAGTGAAACCTAACTATATTAGTTGAAGAGAAACATTTGAGTAGACTGATGAAGATATAATTACAAAATGTCAGAAAAATTTCTTTTGAAATGAAATGTTTTCAGTCTCTCAGGTTTTTGTCTTTCTTATTTAAATTTGCTGAACCAGTGTTTTTATTTGTAAACTATACCTAGCAATCAAGACTGTGTCACAGAGATTTGTCGACTTTTTTCATATTGTAAGCCTATTTGAATATTATAGCTAATAATCAAGGTTTTTTTTTCATTTTGTTCTGTAGGCATTGTATGAAATGCTTGGTCCTGCAGTGAAAAATTTGCCTGTGGATACACCAGAACAACGGACACAGGTCATCTTTGATAAGATGGACAGTAACAAAGATGGATGCCTCACTCTAAAGGAGTTTCTTAATGGTTGTTTGGAAGATCCTACACTTGCAGTATTACTTAATGTCAATCCAATGGAGCAGTGAAAAATGTAAATTGAAACGTGGATTCTTCAAAACATTTTTTAGATACAATGTACAAATCACTTGTTTGACATGTGTGATAGATCGCTAGGAATATGTTACTAGTTCCTGCTTATAAATCTATATTACAGAGGTTGCAGCTGAATGATAGAAGTCCTCCATTATTCTGTGTCATAAGTCATTATTAACAGATTATTCGTTATATTATTTATTAATAAACTTAAAAGATTCTCCAGCATTGTACGAGACAGGTTTTTGCAGGGATGAGAATTGGCCACTATTTGGTATATTTCTGCCGTTTCTATTTGTAAATTGACCATCCATCAAATTCATTAAAATCTGGTGAGAAAAATGTACAGTGTTGGAGCCAGAGACAAAATACTAGTAGGCTTAAAACAATTATGCCTTGTCTACCTTGATGTATATACTAGACTGAAATTGATAAGTAAGGCTCCTTTTAACTCACTGATTGACAAATGACTAACCAGTTGCAACATGTTTCTTTGAAGACAGAGATATCTGAACACTGCAGACATTCAAAAACACATTAAAATGCAATGGTGGGTGACCTAAAGGGATCAACATATAGGTACACTTTAAATCTTTTACAGTCTGTCTTAATGATGTGTGCTTTTCAACCACTTGTTTAAAATTACATTACATTGAATAGCCACTTTTCTTACATTGGACACTGTTTTTATGTATGAAACTATTTAAATAAAGTTTAAATTGATGGAAATGGGCATGATCTGATGAAAGTTGGGGCAGAAGGTATACAACAAAATTTCAAAATTGTTTTCAATGATTAAAAAAATTTTGCTACAGTTGAAAACAGGTTTAAATTTTTTTTACTTTCACAGTTTTCAAAATTATTTTCAGTCTCATAAATTATACACAGGAGAGTGAAATTGTGGAACTAGGAGCATTTCAGACACACACAAAATCACTTAACACCTATGTATTTGTCGTAAGTTTTTTTTCAGGTAAATGGAAGAAGTATACCTATATATCTTCTTAAAAAACTGAGTAAATTATTGGTCAGAAATTTGCCCTAGTGGAAATTGATTTTTACAAAACAAAGTTTTGCCTTAATATTTCCTGAAATAAACAGTTTGTAGTTAACAGGTCTAATTTTTGCAATCAGAAGCACTTGATTGTATTACCTGTTTAAATATTTCATCAAATGACCAGCTTGCACTTTAATTGGTAGTTTTGATAATTGAAATTGAGTTAAAATTACAAAAGTCCAGTTTACTGATCATCTTAACAGTAAATAAGGTGAATATTTAATGCCTAAAAAATGCCTAGAATACGCCAGAGAGCATATAGATCCCTGTGACCTAGCCTTTAAGGGTTGAAACCTAGGACCAGCACAAGCATTTATTATTTGCTATTCTCATCCCTGTTTTGGAAATATGCTGTACTGAAAAATTCTGTGTTTTATCAAGCTGTATTGTGAATTTCTGTTGGCTGAATAAAGTAGGAAACACTGTCTTGTAAAGAATTTTTATTGATTGCTTCATAGCTGATTGCCATAAATTTTTGGCAACAAATGAACAACTGGTATCATTCATGATGTCTAATAACCTCTTTTTTGACCTAATGAAGTGGAAAATAGTTCTTTATGTATATATATATATATTTTTCAGTTTTGTTTGGAGTAATATATTTATTAAGGATGAATTTTTGTTCTTATTTTTTTATTTCTTTTAAATACTGTTTTATACAGTGATATGTAAGTTTGGACTGACTAAACCTGTGAGCTTTGAGTTTGAAAATAAAGATAGATTGATGCATTTCCAGTGAATTATTTAACAAGTGTAAACTGTAAATGTTGTGTATAATTTAGGATTAACCAATGGTTTAATCACTAATGTTGTTTGTAGTTGGTACTTTTCAAACAAATAGTAAGCTTTGCTTATCAGTAAATTTTAACATGGTTGCATGCATGAATTTACTGATAAATAAACACTGATTTTCATGTCATAATCTAACCATAGTAAAAGTTCTCTTCAGATGATGTGTTGGCAGTTTGTTTAAGAGAAATGATTTCAATAACTATATAAAACAAAACCTTCCAAATTTATCAAAATACACAAATTTCTCTTATTGATCTCTGTGTGCATATTGAATAAAATAATCTTAGTAAATTATAAGCTTTTATAAAGTTCTAAATACTATAATACTTTTTGAAAATATCTGAATGATAAAGTGCACATCAATTTTTGTTTTTATGAAAACTACCTATAAGCTTTGCTGTGAGAACAATAAATTGTTGTATGATATCAATATTAATCAAAGACTATTTAAAAGTATATATATCTAAACCCTATAATGTTTTTATAGCAGAATTTCTCTTTTCGTTTTAACTTTGAACTTTAAACCTTACACTTGAATGTTGGTGATATTGAACATTCCTGTCTTTTTTTGTTTTTGTTAAAAGCAGGGCTAATAAACTTCTGATCACTTAATGTGATCATCTCCATAATGTTCAAATATTTGATAACTAGTGAAAGTACCTGGCTTTACTTGGGTTATTAGGTACGTATACTCTAGATGACTATGTCAGTGTGTGTATTCTAAACCTATTTTAGCACAGAAGAACAGTAAAAAGTATTTTAAACATATTTTTATTTTCCAGAAACACGTAAAATTCGTAATAAAATTATTATAGATAATTTTAGATGTCACTATAAATCACATTATCTAACCTATATAAAAACCCATGTGTGTGTCACATCACACTTGATTTCTCAAGATAAGAGAAGTCATAAAGCCGAAATGCATTTATCCAGATAGAATGGTTTGTTTAATGTCTGCCCATTGTCTGCAACGGGGGCATGAAGCCTTGTAATTGTAATGAATATTGGAATGATTTAAAGGAATTAATAAATAAGCCTAAAATAAAGACATAGTGTGAGATAACCTAGCCTAGAGCTAAGTGCATAAAATTTATCATACAAGTAAAAATATAGATCAGGTTTAAAACTAAATTGTTTCTGAATTTAATCAACGGAGACTCCAAATTAAGAAATCAACAAATATTTTTTTCAATTTTGTAGTTTATTCATTTCATTTTATACTTTCAGTTATTACATAGACCAACAACACTATTAGGTTATACTTTTGTTGCTAAGTAACGTGGCATAAAAGCCATTATTTGAATGCATTGTTACCAAAATGCACTGGCTTTTCTATATATTAGAAGTTATTATATAAGGAACCACTTCTTTTCTATGTGGTTTTCACTAGCTTGCCTCATTCAGTAGATATGCACATGCATACGTATCTGTCTGTTTTTTATTTCTATTTGTAATATAAGGAACCATTTCTTTTCTATGGGTTTTTTTTGCTAGTTTGTCTCATTAAAAAGATGCGTGTATGCACATGGATAAGTAATAGCCATGACATAAAAGCCATTGTTGGAATGCATTGTTACCAAAATGCACTGGTTTTTCTATATACTAGAAGTTGTTTTATAAGGAAATACTTCTTTTGTATGTGGTTTTTCACTAGCTTGCCTCATTAAGAAGATACGTATGCAGATAAGTAATAATACCCAGGTGCAGGTTCTAGGCTCTTTCCTCTTCTATGGTGGTCACACAGACACACTTTTATTATTGTGGATAAGTTTTAATAAATGGGGTAGAAATGTTATTGGGAGACTTCGCTATAACAATTAACATATTTTATGATAAAATGGAGATATTTCAGACCTATTTAAGATCATTAAGCATTTAATATGATTACTCGAGTTTTGGGTTGAAAACGTGTTTTTGTATGCTTTTTCTTTCTTCCTATCTTCATTTTAATGTCCTTTTTTATGCTGTTATGGCTCAAGAGAGATGTAAGAGATTATTATTAGATATGTTTTAAAGGTAGAATGTGTTATTCAAGTTAATATATTTTTATTTATTTTTGTAGAATATTAGATGATTAAGGACAATAGTTTAATCTGTAAAAAACTGCTTCCTAGGCTTTGTTTTTGTGGAGAATTTAACAAGTTTTTACATCATATAATATTCATTGTGCACACATCTAAACATGAAAAGTACCTGTAAGTGTTTAAATAGTGTAAGGGATTATATACAATTTGAATGTTGTTAAAAGTGTAAATGTGTGTGTATACATAAATAGATATGAAGGATTAGATTTGTGTTCCAATCTGATTAAAAGCTAGCTTATTTCAAAAATACATCTACTCAGTGAGAAACTGGAAAGAAGACTATGAAATTGAATACATTGTACATTTATACAAAGAAATAATTTATGTCAGTTTGTGAAGAAAAATGTTTATAATTAACAAGTATAATATGCTTGTAAACTAATAAATGACAGTAACAAAAGTGATATGACAAACAAGTGTAATGTACACTGACATAAGACAGTAACAAAAGTAATATGACAAACAAGTGTAATGTACACTGACATAAGACAGTAACAAAAGTAATATGACAAACAATAGTAATACATATGTACACTGATAGAAGACTGTAATAAAAGTGATAAGACAATCCAATCTAACCATGACAGTTGTTTAGGTTTAATATCTTTCAAGCTCCAAAAAAGAATTTTCACATCTGAAAGAGAACTGGATTCTCAGGAACTTTTATCTCTTTGCCTCGCTCATGATAGATTTGTTGTGGTCTGATTGAAGTTTTGTTTTAGAATCGTATTTGTGAGGTGGGCCACTGGGTTGATTAGGTTAAAATCAGATGAACGAGAGTGCAGAAAATGAATGAATTATGTCTCCTGGTATAAATTGGGAAAGCAGAAGAATAAAGGTGTGAGGATGGTGAATACATGTAGTTGTTTGCATCACGTGATGATGATGGTGGTCAGGTAGGTTGTATTGAGCACAAGGCAGTGGAAAGAGATATTGAGGAACAAGAACGTTAGTTTGAATTGAGAGTTGATTTCATTATTAGATACCTAAATGTAATTAGGAGAATTAATTATATTTAGATTCTTGTATATTAATAATATACAATGGAAATGTCCAAAAAATAAAGTAATAATTAAATGGACTTAAAGTTTTGGAATTGATAAAATTTGATATATAATTTAAATTTGAAATTAAAACTGATATAGCAGCACTTTCTAGGGATTTGGGACCAAGTGTCCAATGACCAAATAAATTTGGGGGGAGGGACCAAAATACCTGGAGAAAACTCACTTTCATGGTCAAGTGCTTAATATTCTACTTGACCAGTTCCCAAGCTAATCTAATAAAAAGAGAACATTATTGTAATAAGTCATCAAAGAATTGTAGTCTCAATGGTATGAGGTAATATTGTCATAGTAGGGGGTTAGGTTAATCATTGTTATGGGTGCCAAGAAAGTTCATAGGTGAAGTGTACTTAATCCATATGGACGGTATCGCAGCAAGTTTAGAAAATTCCAAGTTTTTTTATTCCTAGTAAGTGATTTTGGTAATATTTGGTGACTAACTTAAATATTCTACTTTTCAGAGTTGTTATGTTGCTAGATATTCATGCTGAGTACATGATAGTAAATGGAATGCTGTTTTGATATCTCGTTTGATTGGTTCTGTGATATTAGACATATTACAGGATGTAATACAGCCATATTAGGCTACAAGTCTGATATACAGTGATCAGAAAGCAAGGGTAATGTGATAGAAGATAGTAATAAAAGTGATATGACAATAAGTGTAATGTACATTGAAACTGATAGAAAACAGTAATGAATTATTTGTATAATATATAAATAACTTGATAGATGAAAAGATATGAAAGTATAAGTTTACATGACAAGCAAATGAAATTAATTCCAACAAGAACAGACACTTTATGAAGTCTATAGTAAAAAAGTCACAAATATACTTCCAATCAGCTTTCAGTGCTCTTCTACTTATTGAGAACAACATCTAGTAAGAATATGCATTTAAGATATTTTGCTTTGCTATTTTTAGAAATATTGGAGACCTTTTTTTAACTTTGTAGTTTTATCTGCATGAATTATCTGTAATCTGATTCACAGAACATTAAGCAAAAAATTATGCTTAGTTTTTACTTAGTTAATCCAAATACTAAAGATTTTATTATAAACCTTGATAACATTGCAGCATTGTTCCTTTCAAAATACATTTTTTACTATAAGGTGTTATATTTCTGTGAAGGTCTAATTTTATTAATATTTGATAGGATCTCAAAAGAGGTATACAGTTATTATTGTATAGCTGTACATGAGAGATAAGTACACATGTATTTGTACTTCAAGTGTGAGAGTTGAGTGGTAGTCAGCATGGAATATATTTTTTTTACTGTTGTTGGTTTTGCATAGTTTATTGGATTGGACAACGAAATTTTGGGCCTGCTAATAAAGAAGTGTTGCTTTAATTATCACCTTGATAAATCCAGCCATGATGAATTATATTTTTAAAATAAGCAGTGAATGTTAAATATGTTTCTATGGCTGAAACTCATTACCATCTTTTTTATGTACCAAGCTAGGAACAGGAAGAACCTGTTACTTAGTTTACAGAAGCTGGTGAAGAATAATAGTAAAAGAACATTTTTCTCACTTTTAAAAAAACGATAAAGTAGGTTAGATTTTTTTTTTGAGAGAGATTCCATAAAATGTGTAGATAAATGGTGCTTGAGAAACTGTTTAAGTTTTATAGAATTGGTATTGTAGATGAAAGGCATGTCTAAAATTGTACTTTTTATTGCCTTCAGTGATTGATTGTGATAAAAGGCATGTCTAAAATTGTACTGTTTATTGCCTTCAGTGATTGATTGTAGATGAAAGGCATGTCTAAAATTGTATTGTTGATTGCCTTTAGTGATTGATTGTAATAGAAAGGCATGTCTAAAATTGTATTGTTTATTGCCTTCAGTGATTGATTGTAGATCAAAGGCATGTCTAAAATTGTATTGTTTATTGCCTTCAGTGAATGATTGTAAAAAAGGCATGTCTAAAATTGTATTGTTTATTGCCTTCAGTGATTGATTGTAGATGAAAGGCATGTCTAAAATTGTATTGTTTATTGCCTTCAGTGATTGAT